ACTATTTTCAAAAACACGAGAACGCGAGAACGCGAGATCGCGACACTTGACCAATGTCGCAATCTCGCGTTCTCTCGTTCTCGCGTTTTTGTGCTAATTGCCTATACAGTTAGTTATATGTAACTATTTTCAAAAACACGAGAACGCGAGAACGCGAGATTGCGACATTGGACAAGTGTCGCGATCTCGCGTTCTCGTGTTTTTGTGCTTATAGCCTATACAGTTGTATGTAACTATTTTCAAAAACACGAGAACGCGAGATTGCGACATTGGTCAAGTGTCGCGATCTCGCGATCTCGCGTTCTCGTGTTTTTGTGCTAATTGCCTATACAGTTATATGTAACTATTTTCAAAAACACGAGAACGCGAGATTGCGAGATTGGTCAATTCTCGCGATCTCGCGTTCTCGTGTTTTTGTGCTAATTGCCTATACAGTTATATGTAACTATTTTCAAAAACACGAGAACGCGAGAACGCGAGATCGCGACACTTGACCAATGTCGCAATCTCGCGTTCTCGCGTTCTCGTGTTTTTGTGCAAATTGCCTATACAGTTATATGTAACTATTTTCAAAAACACGAGAACGCGAGAACGCGAGATTGCGACATTGGACAAGTGTCGCGATCTCGCGTTCTCGTGTTTTTGTGCTAATTGCCTATACAGTTATATGTAACTATTTTCAAAAACACGAGAACGCGAGAACGCGAGATCGCGACACTTGACCAATGTCGCAATCTCGCGTTCTCGCGTTCTCGCGTTTTTGTGCAAATTGCCTATACAGTTATATGTAACTATTTTCAAAAACACGAGAACGCGAGAACGCGAGATTGCGACATTGGACAAGTGTCGCGATCTCGCGTTCTCGTGTTTTTGTGCTTATAGCCTATACAGTTGTATGTAACTATTTTCAAAAACACGAGAACGCGAGATTGCGACATTGGTCAAGTGTCGCGATCTCGCGATCTCGCGTTCTCGTGTTTTTGTGCTAATTGCCTATACAGTTATATGTAACTATTTTCAAAAACACGAGAACGCGAGAACGCGAGATTGCGAGATTGGTCAATTCTCGCGATCTCGCGATCTCGCGTTCTCGTTTTTTGTGCTAATAGCCTATACAGTTGTATGTAACTATTTTCAAAAACACGAGAACGCGAGAACGCGAGATTGCGAGATTGGTCAATTCTCGCGATCTCGCGTTCTCGTGTTTTTGTGCTAATTGCCTATACAGTTGTATGTAACTATTTTGTAAGGTAATTCGTCATGGTAAACTCGCGTGCAACGGCGTGAACTGAGGTGCGCACAAACCATTGTATCCAACATCTTTAAGACACTGCTTATTACTGTCTACAAACTCAAAAAGTTGGAAGAATGATGTTGGATGATGAATAAAATCTCACGCTCGTGTCTTTTGACATCAAAACGACGAAATAAACCACAAGGTTCATAGAAATTTCTGCTTTGCAAATTAATGCAGTTTATTTCAAAATGGCTGCTCAAAATCACGTGACTTTTGACAATGTCAGAATGCACATTTTCCAAGTCTTTTGATTATACAGAAATATATATGTAGACTGGTAACATAATAAAGTCAAGAACACGCTCCCTTTCTTGCCTGTGAACTGACTGAATTTGACAAATATTGTCTGACAACTAACAGTCAAATAACCAACATGGATGCCAAATGGTATTTTTCAGAAAGAGTTTGTTTGTTTGTTTGTTTGTTGTTAACGCCGCACTCAGCAATATTCCAGCTATATGACGGCGGTCTGACATCAAATATATAAACACTCATTTGGGTGGCCCGAATCTCTGTGCAGAGTTGCGTCAGTTGGGCACGCCCGAAACCTATGATTGTGGGTTCGAATCCCGGTTCGCCCTGATTATGTTTCTTGTTTCACCATACCCGTTCTCGTGGGCTTCATCGAAGAGGTAAACGTCTGAGACCTGCATCACTTCGGGCTTTCCTCTCATATTAAGCTGACACGCTGTGATATAACTGGAATACTGATAAAAGCAGTGTTAAACCCAACTCTCGCACTTACTCTATAGATGACTACGCGTTTAACCGCTAAGAACATCGAAGAACGAAGCGGGATGTATTATACGATTAATCATGACCTCATTTCTGATGATTCGATTGTTATCTTGTAACATTATAACGCAGTGAGTGACGACGTTAATTGTGAGAGGGAAGTGACCGTCAGTTTGCTCTCCACGGATGTTGTGGCACTTCTATGGTAATGGCGGCTGCATGAAGACGATAAACATCCCAGTGTCACCCACAGGGTACGGGTAATTTACATGTTTGTCGTGTCTCGAAATATGAATTGTAAATAGTGTATCGTGCCAAATATATGGTGAGTTACTGAATAAATACAGCAGTTTCAAGAAAGTGGTAATTGTATTTATAATGTTAAGTGTATTTTACAACATGGACCAGGTTTATATTGTATCTTATGAGTGATGTCGGGATCGAGTTATCGCCCTTGATGAATTGTTTGTTTATTATAGGGTTAAGATAATGATTTTGTATATCATTGATTATTAAGTTCATGTTCATGTACAGAATATAGACGTATGTTTATATGAACTGAATGATTGTGTGAATATGTATGTGTATGAAACCTATGCAGTATTGTTTTTATAATGTTATTGTTTTGTACATTAAAGGATGTCATTATCTACTCTGGCAATAAACACTCACACCCGTAGCCTATGTTTGAAATTGTATTTTCCTTCACAATCCCCGGTTACAATATGACAATCGGTTTTGGGAGAAAAGGTACGTGTAATCGACCTGAGGATTGTGTGAGCATATGCGGGAAATACCCGCCTTAAATAGGGGTAAATATTTTTAAACCTTGTACATTTTATCAACATGCTTAAAGAGGCTGTACATAATGTTGATATCTCATATAATCATTAAACGACTCGTGGTTGTTGTTTATTGTACATTCAATAAAACACTAGCCCCTCATGGTTTATTCTCCCTGCAGTGTTTTATTGTACTCCCACTCGTCGTTTATTTCTTTAACAGTGGCCCGCTCATTTATGATAACATGCGGGCGGTTTAATGATAGTTTTATCCATTTTGACTATAAAATAATGTAAAGCGGGATGTTTTGTAGTCAGGTTGGAGCGGATGAAAATATGATAATTAATTTTGTATTTCAAATTGGTCTATGAGAATTTTGCCTTTCATGAATATGCTAGCCGTGTATAACATTGCCTCATGGAGAAACTCACTGGCCTGTGATTATTTCTGTAACTGTAGTGCTGCTGGTGCGGCTTTAAGCAATATTACTCACTCACTCACTGACGGTAATAGTTTTGTTTCCAGCTTTCGGACACATTTATGTTTTCACTATCATTGGACATTCATGTACACAATTTCTTTTGTTAAATTATATTGAGCATGTTGAGGGTTTTATCATAAAGAACATAGGAAACTGTAACAAAGGGAGATGACTCAGACTTTGTGTATGTAAATTACATAGCATTTTCAAGCTCAAGTCATAAGTTTGCTAAATGCTACTTGGAGAATGAAGAGCATGAAAGAAGCATGACCAAAGGACTACTAACGTGCGCATGGGCCTTGACCTTGTGATATTACGCATGCGCACGGACAGCGTCTAAAACGCGAGAACACGAGAACGCGAGATCGCGAGAAAATGAAATGTCGCATTCTCGCGTTCTCGCGATTTCGTTATTTTGTGGCCTAATTTGACAAGTCGAGATTGCGAGATTGCGAGATTTTGCATCATGTCCAAATGTCGCATTCTCGCGTTGTCGACTTTTGACAAAAAATGCTATGTACCAAAAACACGAGAATGCGAGATCGCGAGAACGCGAGATTTTGGCCAAATCTCGCGTTCTCGCGATCTCGCATTCTCGTGTTTTGGGCATATTTACCTCGTTTCCAAAGGTCGAGATCGCGAGAATGCGAGATCGCGAGAATGTCCCTTACAGTATTCCATAGATCCTGAATGTCTTAAGGAATTATTTGAAATCGTTCAGTCATATGTGACGGGTGCCGACTACGATCACCATTTTACGAACATCTTATATCATCATTATTTCATAGGGAGTAATAAATTTCATGCTTACGATATAGTCGATATTGACTGCTCCCAGCAGAGATTTCTCTTGATTATGGAACGGACTTTGTCGCTCACATTCTGGTAAAAGTTAAAGCCAGTTACCAGTCTTGGGCCTTTGGGTGATCATTTGAGTCTGGAAATGACTTTCTTATGATCATAGAAAGTGTTCTGTCGCTGTTAAATATATAGAGGATACGCCACTCATGAAAGTATCTCCTTTTCCCTTGTCACTCGATGAAAGAAACGTGATATTTCACGAGACACATGGAATATCCTATTTATTATATACTTCTGTGCAGTTGTCTACCGGAAAATTAAACTAGTTAATTACAAATGTTAAGCCTTGAAACGTAACTTCTCCCTACCTGACACAAAGGGACGGTTCACCACTCCTTGTATTTGCGACTTAAAAAGAAGTTTCGTGTTTGCATCTTAAAAATATAAACAAAAGTATAAAACATATTTAGGGTCACGATAATTCGTTATCATACATTTCGATATGATTATATACAAAATCAACTTTGACAAAAAATATTCTTGAATACTAGGAGACGGCTGAGAGAAGCGAAAGAATACACGCAAGTATCCAAAATGGCACTTTTTTGCGAATGAAACAGTCTCGATTGACGTTTGCTGGTTGGTTGCTTGTTTAACGCCGCACTCAGCAATATTCAAGCTTTTTGACGGCGGTCTGTAAGAAATCGAGTCTCGACCAGACAATCCAGTGATTGACACCATGAGCATCTATCCACGCATTTGGGATAAATGACATGCTCCAACCAAGTCAGTGAGTCTGACCACCCGAACCCGTTAGTGGCCTCTTAAGCTCGAACTCTACAATGCGAATAGCGTTAGACAAGTCCAAAATGCTTCCTATGATTCAATACAAAAACAAGGATATGAAAGAAATTGCAGTTTTATTGACAACAAAATGAAAATAAAGAAGAATATACCATATATGTGATTGCGTACGTGCGTGTGTAGTTCAGTTATAATTCGGTGTTCCAACTTCATATTTGAGGGAAGCTTAAAGTGATGTAACCAGAGTGATCTTGCCACTTTGTGAAATTTATATACTTGCAACGGGAATTGGGTGAGTAAGCCGACAGGGATCAAAAGATGGACACAAGTTAATTAATCATATATATTCAAGAAGGTGAGAATAGCATGTACATGGATATATTAAAACGTATTGTATTTGATATACACGTTCGTACTGCTTTAAAATATTTGTTCGATTTTCTGATCCTTCCTTTCGTTAAGACTAGATCTCCACAGTCTTGAGAATTCTATTGCAGCAGTCACATAGATGTATTTTCTGAATCAATCTCACAATGTCCAACCGCTTACTCTCTTCCTTGGTGAAGTAGAGCAACACGTGGTGGATGGTCCTTCCCTTGGCGCTGAGTGCCTTCAAGAAATTCTTCACTCTTTCCACATTGTTGTCACAACCAGGGACTTGAACGTTCCTTCAACATATAGCAGTATTCTGACAGATCTATACAGAGAAACTTACCCTTGTGTCTTTTCATATCAAATATATAAGCACGAGTAGATAATTTACAACTCCGAGGTTTGCCGGGGAAGTATAAATTTTTATCGACGAGTTGTGATATATTTTATATCCAAAGACACAAGGAAGAAATTCTATTTATCATCCAAAATAGTTTTCCCAATCATTTCACTTTGAAAACAGCAATAACCAGTGTCCAGAGACTACAAAGTACAGCTATAGTTGCAGAGATATTAGTGATGTCATATGATTGTGACGTCATGGCCAATCTTAGTGATGCAATTTCATAGTAGTCGTATCTTCTAGGAGATATCACTTCATCTCACCCAAGTGATGTCTCCCGTCGAAGCTGTTTTGGACGATAAACCACTATATCAGTCATAAAGAACATGTAAGATATTATTTTGACTTTGTGTTGATTGATATAAAAAATGAACAAAGGGCATTTGATGTGACTTCTTTTTGTCTGTTTCGTGTTATTTAATTTTCACGGAATTGTCTTTTTACTATCACGATTCACTGTGACACTCAATTTCAGTTATACTGATAAGTATGTCATTGTTTCATCTAGTGACCTATTATTCGTCGATCTTCACATAAAAACAGCTCGACTTTCATGACGAGAACACCTGGTATCATTACTATTTGATAGTGATTCATAAACATATGCTCATGATATAGTCGGAATCGTACAATCAACTCTGCTTTATGCAGAGATTTCTATTGGATATGGAAGGGTTTTGTCGCTTTATTAACACCTTCATGGATAAGAAATGATGAAGAAACACGAACTGGCTATGTTGTGGATCAGATTGGACCATCTGAACCACAACATCCTGTGATGTTAAGAAAATGCATTACAAATAACACGCAGCAAATATGACAATATCACCTGGCCACGTAGCATGCTATTGTTACCCATACAACTTACCACATCTGTTCTAACTGCCAATGCTCATATCCCAGATACTCAGCTCCCAGCCCATAGGCGGTTGGCATTTTGCTACGAGGATGCGATGACATCTCAAAGATTATTTGCTGGAAATAAAAAAACAACATCTCGTATCATTTCACTAACAACCGATTTCGTCAAATACACATATTACACTAAGACCATTTGCTATCAATAATCGGAAGACCATTACAATTGTTATATTACCTCTTTCGTCCTGTTGTTCTGTCCGCCTTCCGTGGAATCCAGCAGATACCCGACTGGAGTTGTACAAGGCCCATCGGGATCTAGAAAACATCAATACATCAATTTATTTTCGTTCCCATTTCCTATAAATCCTGCAACGAAACTTAGGCTTTGTACGTTATACACCTTGAATGCAATGTAATCTGCGTCAGACTGCAAAAAATGGTTCAGAAATTTTTTGAGATATAAACTGTCTGCAAACATTCAGCATGGAAACATCATCAGTGCCTAGACAGTCTTCAGCACCCCGTGCTTGTCGTAAGATGCGACTAATGGGATCGGGTGGTCAGGCTCTCTGACTTGGTTGATGCATGCTATCGTATCCCAATTGTGTAGATCGATGCTCATGATGTCAAATCCTGGATTGTCTGGTCCAGACTCAAGTATTTAAGACCGCCGTCATATAGCTGGAATATTGCTGAGTGCAGCGTTTAACAACATACAAAAAGTGCATGGAAAGTACATCATCAGCAATTGAGTCTTAACCCCAGTAACCTCATACCTGTACGCCTGGATTTCACCAAAGAGTTACCTGTCAAGACTGTCTAGTGTGGCTGGGATCATGTCTAGTGTGGCTGGAACACTGTCTAGTGTGACTGGAATACTGTCTAGTGTGGCTGTTATCCCAATGCCAATCGCATCCCGTTGCCTTCAATACTTTATTGCATCAGGCATTTTGTGTTGTTGCAACTATACACACACTGGTATTAACACATATCCTATTTTGAATGTTGTCCTATGAACGACTACTCACCTGCATCTACCTCCTTTGGGTTTGCAGGTGTTGGTCCAGACACACGAGCTTCGCTTCTTCCAACATCCTCGGCTCCCGTATGTTTCCCAGCTGTTTGTTGTTGGTCCAGTCCGCCTCCCGTTTGGCCTTCCCGGAGCTGCACTGTCTTACTTCTGCATTCTTGACCTTGTTCCGGAGTGCCATCTCTCACTCTTTCCTTGCTCTTTTCACTAGCACTTTCCGGTGTAGTCACAGGTTTGTGTTGTCGGGCTGCTTCACTACCTGTATTGGGGTCTTCTCTCGGATGTACAACCTCTAGTTCCTGTTGTCGCCTTATTTCATCTCCAATACTTCCTTCCCTGGCCACCGTGCTACCTTTCTGTGGGTCCCCAGTTCCTTCTTGTCTAAGGCCACCATCCTCCCTTCCCGACCCAGGCCCGTCTATTGTATTCCTTCGGTCGCCTTCCGGTATCTGGTGTCGACCTGCTCTGTCCCTCAACCCTCTTCCAGTTCTATCAGATGTAGCTCCAGTTCTCGCCCCATCTTCAGCACACGTGAGTGTTTGGGTAGTTTTCGGGACGCTCATGCCCTGTGCAGCCAGAGTTCTCTGTTCTTGTTCAAGGTTTTCATATGGCCCTTCTACCCCATGACTTCCCGGTGAACTTATTTGCACAGACACGCGTTCATCCTCTCGACACTGGTTTTTATTTTGCAGCTTCTCTGAACGGTCTGCAGCTTTACTTATCTGTATACTCTCGGCTACCGTCAATCTCTTCTGTATTGTTCCGGAGCTGGCTTCCATTCGTGTGTCCCGTATATTAGTCAGTTCAACCCCAAGCTCTTGTTTCTGGGTTGTACTTTTCTGTCTAGACTCTCGTTCTGGATTTACATCACAGGTACCTCGAGCTTCTGCCCTATTTTCACCAGTTTGGTCTTTCTTCTCAGGTCTTCGTTTGGTTTTCGCAGATTCACCATTGATACCTGTTTGGTCCAGATTTGGTTGTGGTACGTTGATTGTGTCTATTTCCTCTGCAACCGCACTGGTATTTCTCTCTGCATCTGCTGGTCCAATAATTGGATGTGGTACATTGATTGTGACTATTGCCTCTGTGACCGCACTGGTATTTCTCTCCGTGTCTACTTGTTCCTTTTTTGGCTGTGGTACGTTGAATGGGACTAATCTCTTCCTTGATGTTTCACCACAAGGACCAGTTTTCAGCCTACTCGGAGAAGAAGTGCGATCATCTAGATCCCCATAAGGGTTTCCAGTATAAGAATCACCTTGTCCTGAGTCGTCTGAGTTCTCTGCTTGAGCTTCACCTAGTTGTAGAAGGACATATTAAGTTGTCCATAATGGTTATCACCATGCTCTTTTACACTATTCAAGATTTGCCCTCTTACTTTGGTGTACTTCAATATTGCTGATACGGCGGTGAGCAAATATCACTCACTCACACACTTTCATTGTAATGTTTTCTTTATTTTAATTTATTGCAGAACCATGCATCACTTTTAAAGTTTGTATACAAATGACCGCCTCCGTTGTGTAATGGTTGGAGAGTCTGCCTAGTGAGCGCAAGGTCGGTGGATTGATTCAGGGCCGAGTCATACCAAAAGACCATAAAATATGTCACTTGTCAACCTGTCTGGTGCTTAGCATTTAGGGGTTAAAACAAGGACTGGCCGGCTCTGAGTCAGTATACTGTGTCTGAGTGGGGTATGGTTTCTCCACACACACACGCACACACACGCACACACACACACACACACACACACACACACACACACACACACACACACACACACACACACACACACACACACACACACACACACACACACACACACACACACACACACACACACACACACACACACACACACACACACACACACACACACAGAGAGTCCACTAATCTTGAACGCTCCTCAGGACATGCGATGCACTTTAAACAAGTATGGCAGAAATCACATGATGTTTAATGTGTAGTGAGTGAGTTGAAAGGTAACGTCTCATCAGCATTGTTTCAGCCATATCGCGGCGAGAACAAGTTGATATATACTCCAGTGAGTCGCGAGTTGTTTATGTAGAGGGTTGGGGAAGATCAATACATATTTGAACTACAGTAGCAGTGATTACCTGGTTTAACCGTTAGCCAGTCTTCTGTTCTGTTGGAACTTCTAAACTGTTCTGGTCTTGGTGGCAATGAGACATCAGGAGGCAAATCACATCTTACCTCCTCTTGCCCTGATAATGCAATACATGGCATCTAGACATATATAGTTAAACTTCTAATTTAACTAATCCCATTAAGGAAAGCTGCAAATGCAACGGTATAAATATATACATATAACTGAAAATTACTAATTATAATGACATTAATATTACTTAACAAATTGATCAATCTGTTACTATATAGATATCATTAATCTTTTAATTTCACTAATCCCCTTAAAGAAAATACACTTACAGGGAAAAATCAAATGCGATCATATAAATGTATTCATAACTGAAAAGTAATAATTATAATTATATTATTATGACTAAACAAATTGATCGATCTGTTATTTACAGACGAAATAGCCGGTATATTGATGAATGCAGGGCAAATCAACAAACAAATCTAACGGTAAACAACCGCTTGTCATGGCAGTCCATGCTTCGTGTCGTCTTAGTGTGTACGGAGGTAAACAACCGCTTGTCATGGCAGTCCATGCTTCGTGTCGTCTTAGTGTGTACTGAGGTAAACAACCGCTTGTCATGGCAGTCCATGCTTCGTGTCGTCTTAGTGTGTACTGAGGTGAACAACCGCTTGTCATGGCAGTCCATGCTTCGTGTCGTCTTAGTGTGTACTGAGGTAAACAACCGCTTGTCATGGCAGTCCATGCTTCGTGTCGTCTTAGTGTGTACTGAGGTAAACAACCGCTTGTCATGGCAGTCCATGCTTCGTGTCGTCTTAGTGTGTACTGAGGTAAACAACCGCTTGTCATGGCAGTCCATGCTTCGTGTCGTCTTAGTGTGTACTGAGGTAAACAACCGCTTGTCATGGCAGTCCATGCTTCGTGTCGTCTTAGTGTGTACTGAGGTAAACAACCGCTTGTCATGGCAGTCCATGCTTCGTGTCGTCTTAGTGTGTACTGAGGTAAACAACCGCTTGTCATGGCAGTCCATGCTTCGTGTCGTCTTAGTGTGTACTGAGGTAAACAACCGCTTGTCATGGCAGTCCATGCTTCGTGTCGTCTTAGTGTGTACTGAGGTAAACAACCGCTTGTCATGGCAGTCCATGCTTCGTGTCGTCTTAGTGTGTACTGAGGTAAACAACCGCTTGTCATGGCAGTCCATGCTTCGTGTCGTCTTAGTGTGTACTGAGGTAAACAACCGCTTGTCATGGCAGTCCATGCTTCGTGTCGTCTTAGTGTGTACTGAGGTAAACAACCGCTTGTCATGGCAGTCCATGCTTCGTGTCGTCTTAGTGTGTACTGAGGTAAACAACCGCTTGTCATGGCAGTCCATGCTTCGTGTCGTCTTAGTGTGTACTGAGGTAAACAACCGCTTGTCATGGCAGTCCATGCTTCGTGTCGTCTTAGTGTGTACTGAGGTAAACAACCGCTTGTCATGGCAGTCCATGCTTCGTGTCGTCTTAGTGTGTACTGAGGTAAACAACCGCTTGTCATGGCAGTCCATGCTTCGTGTCGTCTTAGTGTGTACTGAGGTAAACAAAAGTCTCACGTCAGACCGCTGTACAACTCTTATTGGGAATATATAATAACCCCACACTTCAGCACAGGTTGTGTCAGGGAATATATAATAACCTCACACTTCAGCACTGGTTGTGTCAGGGAATATATAATAACCTCACACTTCAGCACTGGTTGTGTCAGGGAATATATAATAACCTCACACTTCAGCACAGGTTGTGTCAGGGAATATATAATAACCTCACACTTCAGCACTGGTTGTGTCAGGGAATATATCATAACCTCACACTTCAGGACAGGTTGTGTCAGGGAATATATAATAACCTCACACTTCAGCACTGGTTGTGTCAGGGAATATATAATAACCTCACACTTCAGGACAGGTTGTGTCAGGGAATATATAATAACCTCACACTTCAGGACAGGTTGTGTCAGGGAATATATAATAACCTCACACTTCAGCACTGGTTGTGTCAGGGAATATATAATAACCTCACACTTCAGCACAGGTTGTGTCAGGGAATATATAATAACCCCACACTTCAGCACAGGTTGTGTCAGGGAATATATAATAACCTCACACTTCAGCACAGGTTGTGTCAGGGAATATATAATAACCTCACACTTCAGCACAGGTTGTGTCAGGGAATATATAATAACCCCACACTTCAGCACTGGTTGTGTCAGGGAATATATAATAACCTCACACTTCAGCACTGGTTGTGTCAGGGAATATATAATAACCTCACACTTCAGCACTGGTTGTGTCTGGGAATATATAATAACCCCACACTTCAGCACTGGTTGTGTCAGGGAATATATAATAACCCCACTCTTCAGCACTGGTTGTGTCAGGGAATATATAATAACCCCACACTTCAGCACAGGTTGTGTCAGGGAATATATAATAACCTCACACTTCAGCACTGGTTGTGTCAGGGAATATATAATAACCCCACACTTCAGCACAGGTTGTGTCAGGGAATATATAATAACCTCACACTTCAGCACAGGTTGTGTCAGGGAATATATAATAACCTCACACTTCAGCACTGGTTGTGTCAGGGAATATATAATAACCTCACACTTCAGCACTGGTTGTGTCAGGGAATATATAATAACCTCACACTTCAGCACAGGTTGTGTCAGGGAATATATAATAACCCCACACTTCAGCACTGGTTGTGTCAGGGAATATATAATAACCTCACACTTCAGCACAGGTTGTGTCAGGGAATATATAATAACCTCACAATTCAGCACAGGTTGTGTCAGGGAATATATAATAACCTCACACTTCAGCACAGGTTGTGTCAGGGAATATATAATAACCCCACACTTCAGCACTGGTTGTGTCAGGGAATATATAATAACCTCACACTTCAGCACTGGTTGTGTCAGGGAATATATAATAACCTCACACTTCAGCACAGGTTGTGTCAGGGAATATATAATAACCTCACACTTCAGCACAGGTTGTGTCAGGGAATATATAATAACCCCACACTTCAGCACTGGTTGTGTCAGGGAATATATAATAACCCCACACTTCAGCACTGGTTGTGTCAGGGAATATATAATAACCCCACACTTCAGCACTGGTTGTGTCAGGGAATATATAATAACCCCACACTTCAGCACTGGTTGTGTCTGGGAATATATAATAACCTCACACTTCAGCACTGGTTGTGTCAGGGAATATATAATAACCCCACACTTCAGCACTGGTTGTGTCAGGGAATATATAATAACCTCACACTTCAGGACAGGTTGTGTCAGGACTTCCTGGCAAGAATGTAAATGGAAATTACTAAACGCCCATGTTGTCCATCTTCAGCCCAATATACCACTGATTGGAGGTGAACAGGTTGGAGGCAAATGTAACTTGATATCAAAGTCGTTTGTTAAAGCGACAAATGAGAACATTATCACTCAGTTAAGTCAAACCTTTTCATTCATGACTGATAAAAATAATCACTTGTTGTGGGATACCCATAGGTTCACACACTGCATTTATTTTTCGGATAATAATATTATATTTAATTTCTATCCCCGGAACAAAAACTTACACGGTAGTGTTTCAAGCCGTGACCAGAACCTATGATAACACATTTCAAACATGTTGCCAATCATTTGTAATAATTATTTATCTAAAACAATCGGCCGCTACAAAGTCCGTGGTTTCACCGGACAGACACATGGATGAGCATATATATATACACAGTTAAACAAAGGTTGGGTGGGAGGGGAGTATTGGAGAATGATAGAATGGAGGTAAACCTACTTTGTTTTGAAATTCAGGTAGTCACGGTTCCAAATTAAAATATAAAGTTTTTAATCTACGGGCTACCTCAAATTTCAAAATAAGAGGTTTATCTCCTAATTCAGTAATGTTTGGTTATCAAGTTTCAGCTGTTCAGCCGGAGTGAAATGTTATGATTGTTATGGTGTTTCTGATGTCCAGGAACACTTAACTTTACTCCATTGAACTCGATTGTTTTGAAGTTGTTTGATCAAGGTTACAACATTCAAGGCCTCGGTAAAGCTTCCAAAAGGTTTTATGGTAGACATGTGGAGGACATTTCCAAATTTGACGCATCAGTGACAAAAAATGATGTCCGATGCAATTCAATACCATATGTTCCCATGCTTTTTTTTCAGGTGAACAATTGACATGCCTTTGCATGTGTTTGTGACGGGTGCCACCGATGGGGTAGAATACGCTCACCTTTTCGCGAACATCTGGTAAATTACTATTTGATAGGGATTCATAAACACATGCTCATGATATAGTCGAAATTGTACAATCGACTCTTTATGCTTTATGCAGAGATTTTATTGTTTTTATATTGCATTTTTTATTGGATTTTATTTTAATCGCTTTATTTATTATAATTGTTACATGTCTGACCTTGGCGCTGGGCAGCTGGAGGTTGTGCCGCATCCTCCTCTGTACCATCAGCCTGGGGCTCTTCCTCTAGGTCCTCCCCACTCAGTGTGTCCACGTTAACATCAGACATCGCGTGCTACTGTGGCAACTATGTCACGCACTGCAAATAAACACATCGAGGTCGACTTAATTGTTTATTAGTTTGATCAAACATGCATGTGAAGCGAAGTGCCTACTGACTCGCGATATCCATTACATATCGCTGGGGTTACCTTTCCCCAGATATAATGTGCACACAGCATTATTCCATCTATATGACAGCGGTCTGTAGCTAATCGAATCTGGACCAGACAAACCAGTGATTGATATCATGCGCATCGGTCAAAGCAACTGAGATACGATGACATGAATCAACCAAGTCAGCGAGTCTGACCACCCGATCCCGTTAGTCGCCTTTACGGCAGTATATAAGCAAAAGTTCAAATAAAAGATACCGAGAAACTTGCATGTGGCGTGTTCATTAATCGTCTACCGTTTCCGGGTCGGGGGAGCATGCAAGGTGAAACGGATTAAATAATACGACAATTAAATCGTGTAAGTCCAATTATTTCATATTAGTGGTGATTACTATGTAGTGATTTGTGATTATTCTTTATGTGACAGGCGAAATATTTCACAATTTACTGCAATTGTTTTGAAACGAAAGATTATCAGCTGACTACCCCTGTCTGTGACGTCACATTTGTGTGTTCGAAGCACCGACTGTTTGAAATCGCCCACCCTCTTTACGTTGCCTTATGCTAAATCAATTCAGCAGGTTAAATATTAAGTAAACATGGTAAATATTTACATCAATGCCAGGGTCTAACCAGTCTCGATTATCCGCCGAAACAGATTCTAGTGACATTCGTCTCCATTCGGATCTTTCCGTAACCTACAAGAAGCCTCTCGACATTCGTGACCAACTCGTGTTATTCCGGGACAAGCCGAGTCTTCTTGCAGGTTACGGAAAGGGGTGAGTGTTGACGAATGGCCTCTCGACGGCCGCCATAAGTCGACATTGAAATAGCGCAAGTCAATCCAAATGTGCGTTAGGGTATAGGTAATTCGATAAATATAATCCCGAGTATTTAGATTAATTATGGCAATATGCGTTTGTTTAAAATATGTGGAGAAATGTAGATTGTCAGTTCCACGCCACATTGTATACAAAATTGTGTTATACAAATTGATGTAGTAACTCTTAGGGCCATGTTGGCTGATCGATTCAAAAGTAAACGTGCGCCTGTTTACATTCAGGAAACGGCTCACATGATTGTAACATCTGCTCATTTCACCTGTAACTAGACTTAGCTTTCCAAACTACATTCAGTTTAAAATCCATTTGATAATACAGTAAACTACGGTTATAACGAACTCAAAGGGACTACTATTTTTAGTTCGTTATAACCGTAGTTCGTTATAAGCATACATACAGCATAACTACAGCGAATAGTCGGGGCTAAAAAGTAAGTTCGTTATATCCGTCAGTTCGTTATAAGCGTGTTCGTTATAACCGTAGTTTACTGTATACTAAGAGTTGTAATATACTAATAATGTATTAAAATAAAATAATCGCCGATTTCAAAACACATTTCTTTTGTAACACATCAAGATGGCTTATGCCTCAGTCAAAAATCATACATTCATACATTAGGTTCATAAAATATATTTATGTTGTACTAAAATATTAGAATTTGCAAAATGGACATGTAACTACAGAGATAGCAGAATTTGCTCAGGTCATTCATATGTTTTCACGCTTAGACATGTGTACCAAATGATAGTATTTGTTTATAAATATGCCCTATGACTGTTTCAGGCATTGCTCTGGGCTATGTATGTAACGTAACATAATCACGACAGCTAGCACTGACATATATGGGGACCATCCACGTTTCCATAATTAGTGATTAAACAATGATGCTTATGTTTGCTTTATTAGCCTCTTAACGTTTGGATTTGTGTGGATGGATTTTAAATATGGAAATCAGTAGATGTGAATGGACTTATGGATGTAGGAATTGGATGGTATTTCGAACACTGGAAGTATTGACAAACGAATTTTATAATGATGCCAGTTCCCAATTTATGATGTCCCTACAATCGCCGGATGATCTCAACCCTGATTTTTTTCGCCAACAGATTTTCGAATCATTTTGAAAACGTTAGAAAATACACCCCACAAATGTATGTTCTTGAAACGTTTTCCCAAACGCTTTTGAAACCACAAAGAAACGTTTTAACAATGATTATTTAAGTTTTCATAATGTTTCTCGCCAATGTGTTTCAAAACGTTTTGAAAAGTTTAACGTAAAAGAAACTCCATAAATTTATGTTTTTCGAACGCTTTTTTCGAACGTTTTTGTAACTATGGAAACGTTTTCCAAAGGTTTTAACAGGGTTTCTGTGTTATCTGAGTTTCATTATGGATTGGAAGGACACTATTTCCTATTTGTGAACATATGGGGAAAATCACTCTTTAATATGTGTGGATACCATGGGCAAAATCACTCCTTCCTATTTGTGAACATATGGGGAAAATCACTCTTTACTATGTGTGGATACCATGGGCAAAATCACTCTTTACTATGTGTGGACATATGGGGAAAATCACTCTTTACTATGTGTTGATACCATGGGCAAAATCACTCCTTCCTATTTGTGAACATATGGCGAAAATCACTCTTTACTATGTGTGGATACCATGGGCAAAATCACTCCTTCCTATTTGTGAACATATGGGGAAAATCACTCTTTACTATGTGTGGATACCATGGGCAAAATCACTCCTTCCTATTTGTGAACATATGGGGAAAATCACTCTTTACTATGTGTGGATACCATGTGCAAAATCACTCCTTCCTATTTGTGAACATATGGGGAAAATCACTCTTTACTATGTGTGGATATCATGGGCAAAATCACTCCTTCCTATTTGTGAACATATGGGCAAAATCACTCTTTACTATGTGTGGATACCATGGGCAAAATCACTCCTTCCTATTTGTGAACATATGGGGAAAATCACTCTTTACTATGTGTGGATACCATGGGCAAAATCACTCCTTCCTATTTGTGAACATATGGGGAAAATCACTCTTTACTATGTGTGGATACCATGGGCAAAATCACTCTTCACTATTTGTGAACACATGGGGAAAATCACTCTTTAATATGTGTGGATACCATGGGCAAAATCACTCCTTCCTATTTGTGAACATATGGGGAAAATCACTCTTTACTATATGTTGATACCATGGGCAAAATCACTCCTTCCTATTTGTGAACATATGGGGAAAATCACTCTTTACTATATGTTGATACCATGGGCAAATCACTCCTTCCTATTTGTGAACATATGGGGAAAATCACTCTTTACTATGTGTTGATACCATGGGCAAAATCACTCTTTACTATTTGTGAACATATGGGGAAAATCACTCTTTACTATGTGTTGATACCATGGGCAAAATCACTCCTTCCTATTTGTGAACATATGGGGAAAATCACTCTTTACTATGTGTTGATACCATGGACAAAATCACTCCTTCCTATTTGTGAACATATGGGGAAAATCACTCTTTACTATGTGTGGATACCATGTGCAAAATCACTCCTTCCTATTTGTGAACATATGGGGAAAATCACTCTTTACTATGTGTGGACATTATGGGGAAACTCACTCTTTACTATGTGTGGATACCATGGGCAAAATCACTCCTTTCTATTTGTGAACATATGGGGAAAATCACTCTTTACTATGTGTGGATACCATGGGCAAAATCACTCCTTCCTATTTGTGAACATATGGGGAAAATCACTCTTTACTATGTGTGGATACCATGGGCAAAATCACTCCTTCCTATTTGTGAACAAATGGGGAAAATCACTCTTTACTATGTGTGGATACCATGGGCAAAATCACTCCTTCCTATTTGTGAACATATGGGGAAACTCACTCTTTACTATGTGTGGACATTATGGGTAAACTCACTCTTTACTATGTGTGGATACCATGGGCAAAATCACTCCTTCCTATTTGTGAACATATGGGGAAAATCACTCTTTACTATGTGTGGATACCATGGGCAAAATCACTCTTTACTATTTGTGAACATATGGGGAAAATCACTCTTTACTATGTGTGGACATTATGGGGAAAATCACTCTTTACTATGTGTGGATACCATGGGCAAAATCACTCTTTACTATTTGTGAACATATGGGGAAAATCACTCTTTACTATGTGTGGATACCATGGGCAAAATCACTCCTTCCTATTTGTGAACATATGGGGAAAATCACTCTTTACTATGTGTGGATACCATGGGCAAAATCACTCCTTCCTATTTGTGAACATATGGGGAAAATCACTCTTTACTATGTGTGGATACCATGGGCAAAATCACTCTTTACTATTTGTGAACATATGGGGAAAATCACTCTTTACTATGTGTGGATACCATGGGCAAAATCACTCTTTACTATTTGTGAACATATGGGGAAAATCACTCTTTACTATGTGTGGATACCATGGGCAAAATCACTCTTTACTATGTGTGGATACCATGGGCAAAATCACTCCTTCCTATTTGTGAACATATGGGGAAAATCACTCTTTACTATGTGTGGATACCATGGGCAAAATCACTCCTTCCTTTTTGTGAACATATGGGCAAAATCACTCTTTACTATGTGTGGATACCATGGGCAAAATCACTCCTTCCTATTTGTGAACATATGGGGAACATCACTCTTTACTATGTGTGGATACCATGGGCAAAATCACTCCTTCCTATTTGTGAACATATGGGGAAAATCACTCTTTACTATGTGTTGATACCATGGACAAAATCACTCCTTCCTATTTGTGAACATATGGGGAAAATCACTCTTTACTATGTGTGGATACCATGTGCAAAATCACTCCTTCCTATTTGTGAACATATGGGGAAAATCACTCTTTACTATGTGTGGACATTATGGGGAAACTCACTCTTTACTATGTGTGGATACCATGGGCAAAATCACTCCTTCCTATTTGTGAACATATGGGGAAAATCACTCTTTACTATGTGTGGATACCATGGGCAAAATCACTCCTTCCTATTTGTGAAC